AGTTAAAATTAACTTCCATTGGAGTTTTAACAGGTTTACAGTTATTCATACCAAAACGTTCTAAAACATTTTTTAAGTATACAGTCTGATTTATTTTAATTACACCTTCTGAAACGTGTTGTTCAATTAGCATACCCAAGAAATGTCTAACCAAACCTAAATCTTTTACTTGAAAATGCTTTTGTAATACAAGTTTAAAGTCTTTAATCTGATTTTCATTAGATCCTGCAAGTAACAAATCGTCAACATAAATCAATACATAAATTGTACAATTTTCAGTTATTCTTGTATACAAACAATACTCAACTCCAAATCGTTTAAAAGATAAGCTCAACATTAACGAATTAAACGTCTCGTTCCAACATTTCGGAGACATCTTCAATCCGTATAAGGATTTCTTTAGCTTGCATACCGTTCCTGGTTCTTCTCTAAAACCTTCAGGAAGGGAAATGTATATATTTTCTTTGACTTCGCCATTGAGAAAAGCACTAACGACATCCATTTGATAAACAGGAATACGTAACTTACAACACAAAGCTAAAAATATCCTTACAGATGGCAGTTTTGCAACGGGAGTATAAATATCCAAATCAAACGCACCAGTCTGTTGAAAACCCCTTGCCACCAATCGAGTTTTGTAAGTGGCAACATTACCATGTTCATCTTTCTTTTTCTTGAACACCCACTTACAATCTATCACTTCACAATCATTAGACTTTTCTTGAACACACACCCACGTGTTGTTTTCATGGAGCGCAGAAATCTCTTTATTCACAGCTTCCTTCCAGTACTGAGCATCGTTAGTCTTCATGGCTTCCGTGAAGTTTGCTGGATCACCTGGATCTGTCACCAACATGCAAGAGTCTACATCGAATTGAAAGTCGTCAAATCTTGAGGGTTGTCTTCGGGATTGTCGCAAATTATATCGAGTATTAGTACTTCTCGTATTCTTGGTAGAGTCAGATTGTTCAACAGGAGGATTTCTGTCTGAAGCTGAAGAAGGGTCTTGAGATTCTTCGCTATCCGACTGTTCACTTTTACTGTCAGTTCCTGAATCTATGTTTCCACTTATAACTGGCGTAAATGAGACTTTATTGTTTGGGCATTCTCTTTGCAAATCATTCGTTTCAGTTACCGAACTCAAAAAGACAATATCTCTATGTGTTTCTAGTTTCATAGTTTCTGGGAAAAACACACGATAACCTTTGGTATATTCTCCATAACCAACAAAAATACCTATTTTATTTTTAGCATCCCATTTACGTCTGGTTTCCTTTGGTCTAAGGACTGAAACTGTAGTCCCAAAAACTTGAAATATCTTGAAATCCACCTTTGTATTGCACCATAGCTCAAATGGAGTTTT